TTTTAAAAAGCTGCATATAAATATTTTTTTGCACATTCATTAATTGATTTTCCCTTGGTTTGTCCTTTTATTCATCAGGTGTCGCCACAGTGGAATGAAGTACCATTTTTGCACTGGGTTTTTATACACTGTAAAAACAAAAATGTTAAGGTAACTCAAACTGTTTGAGGAAACCGATTACAACAAACCATTTAAGTTTAAAAACCAATCCTAATGAGTACTGTTAACTTAATCCATGGGAGTAAACAAAGCAATTTAAGCACAGTAAAACCCAATAAACAAAGAGGACTCAAACCAACTGAGTATACTTCAAAACCCAATAAGTTAAGACAACTCAAACCATTTGAGGAAACCGATTGCAACAAACCATCTGAGTTAACTAATCTAAATGAGTACAGTGAACTTCATTTAAGTTGAAGTAATGAGGTATTTAATTAATTCATTACCTTCAACACTGAGTTCAAAACTCTTTTCAAATGAGTAGAATTAACCTTCAGTAAATTCAGCTAACTCATTTCATTTGATAAAGTTGAGTGTTTTACAGTGTAGAAATATCTGGATACTTGTGATGCACATAAGAATATGTAAATGAGAAAGACTGGATTATGCAAAACAAATAAAAGAAATAAAGCACAAATTTCATTGTAGGATAATCAACAAAAAGGTTTGAATTTTTGGATTTCGGCAATGCAGGTAACACATTTTTAAAGGAAGTGCTTTAAAGGGGTGGGGCATATAGTAGCTCCTCCCCCTTTAAGCAGCCAATAGCATTTCATTTTTATCATAACTCTGTTGAGCTCAAGCATATAGCAATAGCTTCTTCACTCAAAAAAACTATTTTGCTGCTTGTTCAAACTATGTAACATGAGCATAAACCTGAATGAATTGTGTAGAACCCTGCATTGTTACAGTGCACTGTAAAAACTGCTGGGTTCGACACAATTCCTTAATGTAATCTCAACATAAATCAATTTAGTAAACATAATAATTTTTACAAATTTAAGTGGATTGAACATAAAACAATTTTTGTTTCCCCCCAAAAAACTTCAACTTATTTACTTTAAAGTTGCTAGAACAAGCAGCAAAAATAATTGTTTCAGAGTGTTGAAGAAGGCAGGACATGTCAGATACTAGAGATCAGTTGATTGGTCAAAATATTTGATAAGAAATGTAAGTAATATCCTTTTTATGTGAATATTGTCACTGTTTTGGAGCTCAAAAATATTTAACTTATTTATTTTGAGTTGAATTCTTGGGATTTTTTTGGAGGATAACTTAATTGTTTTATGTTCAATCAACTTAAATTTGTAAAAAAATAAGCTAACTTAATCAATTTGTGTTGGGACTATGGGCTGATATAGGATTCTGACGGTATGATAACCTTGGATAAAAATGGCAGGGTTTGACGGTATTGTGATCACTGCTCTAAAATATGTTCTTTTTAAATGTCTGGGTAAAATGTCTCTTTTTCCTCCTTTGAACACACTGTATTTTATTTTGAGAAACATTTAAAATATTTTGGAGCAGTAAACATGTCAGGCTAAATGATTCAAATCAATCTTTGGCTTCTGTTGTCTTCATTAGTTTCGAAAACACAGATTTTATTACATTTTAAAACATCATCTTTGGATATCTTTTCTGCTGGAGATACTGTTGTCCTAAAAAACTTGAAAAATAAAAAAATAAAAAATCTTACACATATTGTGTATAGATACCTACATACGTAGGAATGGTATAGCACAAAATTTTGGCAGTATTAAAACCTTGACTTTTCCAAACTGTGGTATACCTTGAAAACGGTTATTGTCCCATGCCTGCTTGGGACAACATGAAAGAATTGTGTGGACCCCAACTTTGTGTGGACCCCAACCCCAAAAATTTATTCTGATTTAAGGACCTTAAGTGCATTTTATGTTTTCTAGGCCTGTATACTTTTTTCAGACTCATCGCAACCTTTTTTCAAAGAGGACTTTTTTTTTCTCCAAATAAGATAGGGTGGATAGAGACAGCAGAGAGAAGAACCATTTCTCTACATGGCAAAGCAATGCATCTCTTGCAGAAGCATGTCTTACTCACAGCAGTTTAACTGGTAGAGAGAAATAGGCCAGACTAATGGAGTGTGTCTCAGAAAACTGAGGCTAGCAGTATTCACACACACACACACACACACACACACACACACACACACACACACACACACACACACACACACACGCACACACACGCACACGCACGCACGCACACACACGCACACACACGCACGCACACACGCACACACACACTGTCTGAGGACAAGTGTATGGCATTGCCTGATTAGTAGCATCTTGTGCTTAATCAAACTACATAAAACAGTGTGTAAAAAAAAAACAAAAAAACAAAGAAGCTCCTGTCTTTGATGCATCATGAAAAATATGTAAATCTTACGTCTCAGGATGTATGAATGTAAATATTTAAGATTCTAATATTTTTTTAAGGCACCAATTAAAATACTTGAAAGATAATACATTTATTTTGTCGTTCAACAAAATCATTTTCATATTTTTGGACACAATTTTGTATCTCTTTTCAATTTTGTTTGTTTCATAAATCCGTGCTGTTGATTACACTTTATGTTTGTTTATGGATTTTACAAAAAAATTACCTTATGTAAAGTATTTAGAAGAGCTTGTTAATAATTCTAAGTTTGTACTTTCTCTGCTTGTTTGCAATGCAAGGGTAAAAAAGAAGTAGTGATTATTACAGCATTTTCTGTACTCGAGGAACTCTGTGTCTGTAAATGCTAATGTTTTATGAATGTTTTATAAGTGTTAGTCTAGCATTTGCCGTTTACTGTAGTCAAAGTCAGTTCAGTCTTATAGTTTAGCTTTTGCACAGCACTTCACATTTAATAAAATGAGATTTGGCCAAATGTGTTCAAGGACAAGTGAAACTGAGCACCCACATAGGTACAATAAACTTTATTACTTGTAAATTGATGAAAAAGTAATGCGATGCACTTGCTAATGACAGACAGGACACAACTGTGGCATATGCTGGACATAAAGCATGTTTCCTGTTCATTTTTCAATTAAACTTTTTACTAAAATTCTTGTGTAGATTCTATATTTTGTACAAAGCCCTTAAGGAGACATTGGTGATTAAAAAAGAACTGAAAGAGAAAAAAGACCGGTCAAGTTTCTGTTTGTCAAGCCATTTTCTTTGACAAAAATAACACTGGTTTCCAGCAAAACTATTATGTTACCCCCAAAAAACATTCTTTTGCAACAGTGTTGTGTTTCTCTGAAAAACTTGATCACAAAGCTACTTAAATATATTTCTATCACAAAAGTTTCACAAGCAATGCAAAGTTTGGAGAAAGAAAAAGGGTTGCGGTGAGTGTAGTTTCTGAGGGATACAGATTCTTGGGTATGAGCAAACATTTTGCAAACCATTGGACCATTAGAAATATGTCTGTGGAACACATTGTTTTTTGGGGGAATGCAAAAGTTTTTTTTCCCTAAGCAAACAAACCTTGCAAGCTAATGCAATTTTTCTCAGGGGACAAAACATTTTGCAACCAAAAACAAAGTTTCAGAGGGGTTTCTAAAGGGAATGTAAAACTTTTGAGAGTAAATTAAATTTTCACAGAATGGGTAAGATTTGAGAAAAAAAAAAAAACTTTGTGCATCACGGTGGCTTAGTGGTTAGCACTGTTGCTTCACAGCAAGATGTTTGCTAGTTCGAGTCCCAGCTGGGTCAGTTGGCATTTCTGTGTGGAGTTTGCATGTTCTCCCAGTGTTGGCGTGGGTTTCCTCCAGGTAATCCGGTTTCCCTCACAGTCCAAAGATATGCGCTATAGGTGAATTAAATAAACTAAGCACCTACTCACACTATGCTATCCGAACCGTGCCCAGGCCCGTTTCCTGGTTTGTTTGAGAAGTGTGAGTGCTCTGAATCAGGCTCAGGCATGGTTCACTTGGCCAGCCCTGGTCCAGTTGAAAGAGGTGTGCCTGAACGCAGTTCACTTGGGCTTTGGCGCGGTACGCTTGTGTGTGAGTGCAAACCGCACCAAAGCACGAAACTGAAAGTGAGACGTGACTTTTAAGGGATGGTTTAATATGGATTTATTAATCATTCTTACTGTTCAGTGAACGCAAACTGACATAGTTTATTAAAGACGCAAACCCTTCACTGCATGACAGCTGCGCACCTTCAGCCAACCTCCTAATTCCTGCTGCACAAGGGTTTTATGATTGTTTATGAGCGTCAAAAGTGGCTGATCTGTTCGATTAAATATCTGACTGCGTGTTACCGCATCCCAAACGATATAACTGAAGAAATCTCCACTGTGCTGAGGGAGAGCGCTTCTGACCACCAGCGCAAAGTAGCATTTACTACACAGAGTCGTAGCACACTGACTATGCAAAATATTTAAAACCGAAATCGATTTATTCAGATGATATTGACATTAAGATACTGTCCGGCAAAAACGACTGCAGCTTTCGTAGCTTTTATGGCTCTGTAGTAAATGCTGCAAATTAAATAAACAACACATATAATAACAAGATTTACTCCAAACTCGCATCATAACTTCAGTCGAGTGTTTGAAATAAACCCTTCAGTGAGATGATTCTGTAGTGGTGTGATTATAAGTCATACTGAATTGGTAATTTTCTGTGTTTCTTCTTCATTATGTATTTGCAGTTTTCATGAAAGTGCCCTCTGGCCTTTAGAGGAGATATACTACAGATCACAGAACCGTGCTACCTTGATAAAATGTGAATTATAGTCGCAGCCTTCACTCACATTTCAGTTTTAATTTTGAATAATTTCCTATCCCTATTTTCCATCAACTTGTCCTCATAACAGCTCCTGTATTACTTTTTAAAAATATCAATAAATGCACTAAAAGCATTTTTAACTCCTGGTTCTCAGAGATTTAGATGAGTCTGTCTCTGACACAGCTCAGGAAAGATTTGTAACCCGTTGAAGTTTATGAACATGATGTGTTGTAGACTTACTGATGTGTAGAGGTAGCCCTCGCTGTTCATGCCTATATAGAGCCCAGTCTTGGTGCTCTGGATGGCGACTATCCTCAAGCCCACAGGAATCAAGTTGAACAGCACTGCGAAATCCAAGAGATAAAGATTTTAAACATCAGCATGGACATTCAGAAACTTGCTGTATAGGAAATTAATGATGAATGACTCTCAATATTTCTTCTTTCAGCACCTTATGAAGAATGAGGATTTCTTTTTAGTACACCCCAATACCCCTCCTCCCCCCAAAAAACATTTGACAGTTTCAGCAGAAACCTCCTGAAATTACTGACCCCAGTAAAATGAGCTTTCAGAATCAGTGAGACACATTAAAGAGAAACGGAGAAATCTCTTTACACCTTAGCCAGGGTTTCCAGAAGTGGGATGTTAGCTTGAGGCATGTGCGTTTTGTGTGACACCGGGGCGGCTCATTCAAATGGCTTTTGTGCTGCGGATGAGAGTGTGTCTATTTTGGTGTGGCATGTTGACCGACGGGATGGTTGGTGAGAAACGTCTTGAGCGACATGTTGACTTTAGCGGTATTGACAAATGGCCCGGGGCAATGTGTCTCTATGGGAGCGGTACAGATTTGAGAAGCCCCCTCCTTATGTCGTGACAACCTCGGACAGGGCGATGCAGACCTCATCTGAACCCAAAATCTTATATAGATAAGGACAAGCATCAGCTGACATTGTTGAAAGACAGAAAAATGGAGAACATGTTAGTGAGTATTGCGGATTGATTTGGTAACACTTTAAAATAATAATCCATTAGTTAATGTGTTTACTAACATGAACAGTTAGCAATACATTCATTACTGTAATTATTCATTATTATTCAAGTAATAAAATGTTAGTTCATGTTAACTCACTTTTCATTAACTAATGTTAACAAGCGCAACTTTGGATTTTAATATTGCATTAGTAAATGTTGAATCATGATTAAAAAATGCTTTACAAGACTATTTATACGTAGCTAATGTTAGTAAATAGATTAAATAACATTAATCTATGGACCCTTGTTCTAAAGAGCTACCAGTGATGTTTTTAAATTTTAGCTTTAATATGCTTTCGCTTTATGTCTTTTTGTTAAACATTATGTCATTATGCTTTCACTTTACATTAAACATTATGTCAAAGTGTGCAAGCAGATTCAGTTTAAGTCACAGGTACTGTATAGTGGGTGGCAGCAAAGCATATAAAAATAAATGAAAATAAATAATACAAATGTAAAAAAAAAAATGGCTTCTTAAGCTGCAAATCATTGCAAACAAAAGTAGTAAGCCATAGTCAAGCTATTATTTTTATATAGTATCAACACTGCTAGCTAAAAAAAAAAAATATATATATATATATATATATATATATATATATATATATATATATATATATATATATATATATATATATATATAATAAACTAAAACATTACATACCCCCACATTTCATACACCATATTTTATACATTCTGTTTAACAGACAGAAGATTTTTTCAGCCTATTTCTTTCAGTCTAAATATATATATATATATATATATATATATAGTTTTAGACAGAAAGCAGCCAGAAAAGAGAACAATGTCAAATTTACTGTCCAGCTCAAAGACGCTGCATTAGTAAAACCTTGCTTAAGAGTTGACTAGTTGTTTTTTTTTTTTGGTAATTTGATGCAAATATGATATGAGTCAATAATAATCAACATATTAAAACCTTTAAGAATTTAAATTTTAAAAATTGCTGTATATTTTACAGTACAGATATGCAATACTGTAAGTACATTTACATTTACATTTAGTCATTTAGCAGACGCTTTACATGTACGTTTAAACAAATGGCACTGTAAATGTAAATGCAGTATTTTTGCTGTAATTGATTTACTGTAGATTCTACCGTATATTCTTAACAGTGTAGATTTAGCATTAAAAACGAATGATGACAGCAGCACCAACTTTACCAACTTTTTGAACTGGTTCAGAAGTAATTAACGATTGTCCAAAGATCATCAGACACCCTGAGCCCTTAAACAGCACTCATTACCATCTCATCATCAAGTTATACATCCGCCTCAGTTCGTGTTTACATGTGACGTCTTGTCGCCCTACAAACACTAACTGCCAATCTTTCTCTGTGGCCTTGGTGACTGTTGTAGACATAAAAAAAAGGGACGGCAACCTAAGGTCTGCCTCTGTCAAACTCCATCTGTGCTCGGCATTATGGGATATGGGTCAGGGCATGAAGCTAGCCTGTCGTTCATCCTCTCTCTCTATTATGGAGGATCTTTTCTTTTTTCAATATGCCTCAGCACATTGTGTTAGTACGCTGTCAACAGCTCTGACGTCTCGCTGTCTGTTGAAGACCTTCAGAGTTTCTTCCCCCTCACAGTAAGTTTAACAAGAGTCGTTGGGTCCTGGAAGACATTAGTAAAATTCTGTGAGTGTTTAAGTGTTCTTAAGGGGGCAATGCTGCAGGTTTCATCTCTAGTTGACCATATCTTCCAGATGCCTAGTAGTAAAATTTCTGTCACCAGATGGACATTTTACAGGCAACGTTGGGGTAATACATTCCAAGTAATGGGAGTTATGTAATCAGTAATTAGTGACGTTTTTAAAGTAACTAATAAAGTAATGCAGTCTTTTCTCATATAAAAACATGAGTTACTTTTTTTTCAAAAAAGTAATAAATTTACTTTGTTTTTTTATGTGTCAACTGACAGCTCTCCTGTCCTGATGTTGAGAGAAAGCAATTGTAAGTGCAGATGTGTTGTGCACAATACATGTAGAGATGATGCTTACAGCAATTCTAGCTGATATATCAAAACATATTCTGTATTAGTAGTCAGTATCACCTTAAAATGAATAAAAACGGAAATGCTTTTGCAAAATATTCATTGATGAAGAGTGTTGAATTTTCTTTTTATGAATCCAGATCAATTAACATTTCACTTTTGGTGCAAAATGGCCTTATATTTTTCAAATGTTAGAAGTGTACATTACAAAGTAGAAAGCTCAGCCCAAATTAAAAAAGTAATTTAATGTTGGTGGGAATGCATTAGAAATTTAATGCAATAATTACGTTTTTTTTATGCAAAGCAGTTCCGTAACACATTAATTTTCAGTAATATTTTACTCAGCACATAGTTTACAAAGTTAAAATGCAAAGAAATAAACAGTGATTTAATGTTCTGCTACAGCTGTTATTCGTAAATTCATATACAGTTAAAGTCAGAATTATTAGCCCCTCTGTCTGTTTTTTCCTGCCAATTTCTGTTTAATAGAGAGAAGATTTCTTCGTCACATTTCTAAACATAATAGTTTTAATAACTCATTTCTAATAACAGAGTCATCTTATCTTTGCCATGATGACAGTAAATAATATTTGACTAGATGTGTTTCAAGACACTTCTATACAGCTTAATGTGACATTTAAAGTCTTAACTAGGTTAATTATGCAGGTTGGGGTAATTAGGCAAGTTATTGTATAACAGTGGTTTGTTCTGTAGACTATCGAAAAAAAAGTTAGCTTGAAAGGGCTAATAGTTTTGAGGTTTAAATGGCTTTTATAAAATTAAAAACTGCTTTTATTCTAGCCGAATTACAATAAATAAGACTTTCTCCAGAAGAAAAAATATTATCAGACATACTGTGAACATTTCCTTGCTCTGTTAAACATCATTTGGGATTAGGACTTCTCTCCTCCTAAATCCCCGGGTCTGAATGCAGACAGAGTGGGTAGCAGTGCAGCAAGTCTCCCTATCTATTTCAACCATTAGCCTTGCCAGTAATCTGGAGGATTTTAAAAAGAGGCGAACAAAGCAGCACGGACATAGGCAATGAGTCTGAATGGTAATGAACTCAACTGATAAAAGACAAAGTTCGCCATTCTCCAACTCTCGTACAGCTCTCCCGACAAAAATGCCTGCTTCAAACCAACAGCTTAGCTATATCGGCCCTGACAGAATCGCAGGGAAAAACATACAACAAACCCCGTGGATCATGGAAACAAACACATACTGTATGTGTGCTTACGCTGTCTCACCCAGTCATTGGGTTTTACAGCTTGGCAGGTTTGCCTTGCCTCTGGAAAGCATGTGCTCTCATGAATAATTAAGCAGCAGGGGCTTCTCATGGAGTTAGGATAAGAAAACTCCTCTATGAATAATAATGAGAAACCGTCATCACTCCACTAGCAGATTTGCATTACGTCACCGATTTTGATCCTACCGCAAAAAATATTTTAAACAGAAGATTAGCTGACAAAAGCTCAAAGTTATCCAGTTTTCCCCACAATTAAAGCTAATAGGTACTAAATTTGTCTAACTTGATGCTCAACACACACAAATCAGTTAAAACCTAAAAAAAAAAAAAAAGTACTCCAGGGTGTCTTGAACCTTTAATGCGCAAATTGCAAAACAATTTTGTCTAACAGTCCTATTGATGTCAGAATAATATCTTTGGCTGCCAAATATATAACGCGTTTTTGTTCTGGTCTGTTTTTTAAAATATATTTTTATTACAAAAATTGATATATTTTGCCACTTTGCCACTTAAGTTTTACTTCTGTAGTTTTTAGTCAAAGTAACTCAAAAATTATCCTGGTGCACTGCATTACAATTCTAGACTAATATTGTAAAGGATAAGGGATTGCTTTTATATAACATAACAAGTAATCCATGATATATTACATTTTAGAAATAACTTACACTACACTTATTGCAATACATAACTTTTAATAGCAACTTTTCCCAATACTATTTACAGGATAAATGTGAACTAATCCACAGATTACATAGATGTGTCTTTTTCCTTTGTTTAACCTTTCCTTCAGCTGTGATCTTTTTTTTCTGTCTAGACACTGGCCTCACACCATCTTTTCTTCCTCACAGCTGTCTTGTTCTCTTTGGTTAACCTTTTCTGTGTGCCAAAAAAAGATTGCCAGAATTTTGCTCTTTAAGAATCTTTCTCTCTCTTCATCTCCCTCTGGCCATACACTGCAGATAAATACAGATGTCATTTCTCTTCTGGGATTGATAATAAATAGTATTACTAAGACATTATATAAAAACAATATTTTCACAGTAGCTATTTAAAG